ATCTTAAATTACTTTAATGACAATATAATTTCAACTATTTGTATTAAAGTTAGAGAAAATCATGGTCACTATCACTAAAATCATTCATCTAACAGTATGTTTATAATACTGATGAACCTTGGTATTTTGTATGCCACAATTGCTACTTTGTACTGGCTTTAAATCAATTTTATATCCATATAGTTTTCATTAAACTTATACCACTCATCTACCACAAAACACGTTATGATTAAGTGGACTACTTTTCTCTCACTATTGCATATGTTAAATAAATACTTACAATGCAATCAATCACAAAAAATTAAGTTTGTATTATGCAATTGCAACATAATAATGTGTCATTTATATATTATCAAATATTTTCTAATATGCCAAGTTGAAGTTGCAAGTCTGCTCTAGGGTATAACAAGAAAATGGCCAACACTTTGAAAAAAAAAAAAAAAAAAAAAAAAAAAAAAAAAAAAAAAATCAATAATGTTCACATATATTATATATATATATATATATATATATATATATATATATATATATATATATATATATATATATATATAAAATATATATACACACACACACATATATATACATATACGTATAAACATATACATATGCGAGTATGTGTATGTATATGTATGTATGTATATATATACACGTATTTGTATATATATGTATGTGTATAATATATATATATATATATATATATATATATACACACACACACAACGTACAAGTATGCCGTGTGTAAGCAGAAAAAAGTTTTAGGCATCAAAATAAAGCTTTGCCATTTCCTTTATAGACTAACAAACGTTTAGTTTTGGAGAGGCATCAAAATGATATTAGAATTTCCATTATATGCTCACATAAATATTTAGTCTTGGAATTGCAAGAGCCTAATCATTATCTGTAAACTACCAACCAATTAACCATCAACTTGTTAGCTGCCTCACTAGGCCATGTTCTTATTTGAAACATGTGGAACTAAATATGTTGCCTTGCTACCATAACCATGCTTTTATTATGTTAATTTCACTTTTTCTATAAAAATTCCCATATCCATCATTATTTTATTTTAGTTAATGAAAAAATCAATATCACAAGGAATTGTGTAACTGTTAGAACTATACCTTCATTCTTTTAGTTACATATTAGTTAAAAAACAGGTTAGTAATACTGCATATTGGAGTAAAGGTTTGTATTGGAAAATATAATTTAATGTGGAATGTTCATTACATCAACAAATAACTGTTTTTGTTGCAAATGATACAGGAAGACAAAATAAAATGGTGACAGTGGTTAAATCATGGATTGTGTACTCTAGTAAAAGTGCCCAATTCCACATCTTTGATCTGAAGAGGTGTTTGGAATTAATTTGTGGTGACAGGTGTTTGTGATGGCTTAATACTCATCACCATCTCCCTCTTCCTCACCCTCAGCAGAATCCATACCAACCTCTTCGTAATCCTTCTCGAGAGCAGCCAGATCCTCACGAGCCTCAGTAAACTCTCCCTCTTCCATGCCCTCTCCAACATACCAGTGCACAAAAGCACGCTTGGCATACATCAGATCAAACTTATGATCCAGACGAGCCCAAGCCTCAGCAATGGCAGTGGTGTTGGACAACATGCACACAGCACGAGACACCTTAGCCAAGTCACCTCCTGGCACAACAGTTGGAGGCTGATAGTTGATGCCAACCTTGAAGCCAGTTGGACACCAATCCACAAACTGGATGGTGCGCTTGGTCTTGATGGAAGCAATTGCAGCATTGACATCCTTGGGGACAACATCTCCACGGTAAAGGAGGCAGCAAGCCATGTACTTGCCGTGTCGGGGATCGCATTTCACCATCTGGTTGGCTGGCTCAAAGCAAGCATTGGTGATCTCAGATACAGAGAGCTGTTCATGGTAAGCCTTCTCAGCAGAGATTACTGGGGCGTAGGTGACGAGAGGGAAATGAATCCTAGGGTAAGGCACCAAGTTGGTCTGGAACTCAGTTAAGTCTACATTCAGTGCTCCGTCGAATCTGAGGGAAGCGGTGATTGAGGAGACGATCTGTCCAATAAGGCGGTTAAGATTGGTGTAAGATGGACGCTCAATGTCAAGGTTCCTGCGGCAAATATCATAGATGGCTTCGTTGTCAACCATGAAGGCACAGTCTGAGTGTTCAAGTGTGGTGTGGGTTGTCAGGATAGAGTTGTATGGCTCAACTACAGCTGTAGCAACCTGCAAAAGAACAAGGAGTTAACATGGACTTTGTGTTAACTCCCTCACATTCAAAAAGTTCCCAAAATGTACAGTAATCTTTTTTGGGAACATCTACAATGAAGATTGGTTTCTATCTCTTTTTTTTTCAAGGGTGTACAAATAATTTGGGTGTTCAAAGTAGGAGTATGTGAGCACAATATATGACATATGTAAATATCAATAAAAAAATCTATATGTATATACATTTGTATGTACATTATCTGACATACACGACCATGTGCAAATTTTTATGTTG